TAGTCTGTCGACGGCAGAGAAAGTCAAATATAAGACAACATTACCAGAGTCATAGCAGCTTTATTTGCCAAGCATAATACACATAAGAGCACGTTTCCGGTACATAATGACAGCCACTTCCCAACATCATGACAAGCCAGCCAGAATCCAAAATAGATGTTTAGACGATCCAAAATTAGTGGTTTGGGTGGTCAAGCATGTCGCCCACTAGCGTGCTTTTTCCTGTTTATTTTTTAACACTCAGCTCCTACTTTCAGTGGATCACTAGGTTAACAGAGGAGGAGGAGGAGTAAAGTATCGCTGCTAAGGCTAATGCCATCTTGTGACCAATGTGATTTAGAGCTACTAATCAGCTAAACTCAGCTCAGCAACATTTCTCATCAGCTGAATAAACAGATCTTTTGGCAGGGAACTGGGGTGCGGGGGGAAAAAAATGACCAGTTCCCACTCTGATCCAGTCGTTGGCACTATTTATAAAAGTCGTGCCCTTTGAAAAGGGAGCCCTTTAAATATTTCAGCAAGGGCAGTTTGTGTCAGCATTTGCAGCCCATGAAACAGGCTTCCTCCCGTATAACTGGTTCCATAAAATTAGATTTTGCTTTGTCTTTTTGTTGCATACACCCAGCCCCATTGTAAAGTCTTTTTTTAGAAACATGTCAGAAATATAGGCTAGGGGATTCATTGTGTGAATGTTTTGCTGTATTCTTCTTTTATTTATGTGAAATGGAAGTTTTGAATCTTTACAGGAGGTTTTTTTTTAGTTGCCCTTAAATATCATTAGGTATCAATAATGTACCAATCCAATACTCAGTATTGGTATCAGTCCGATAACGGCTAAAATCACTGGATACTTTTGGTTATATATTTCCTTCTTCATGGGAGTAGCTGCTTCACAGTTTGAGCGTGATGGTTTTTTAGCTGGTGTGCATCCATACAAATGTATTATTAACAGCTGAGTTGTTTATGAGAGGGGCAAAAGATCGGTGTCTGCAGATACTCAAGGTTGCAGCATCATTGTGGGACATGAAAAAGTGATATGGAGCCACCCCTGCTGCTACAGATCTCAATATAAGTATAGTTTGGTTAGTTTTTAGTTTCGTTTTTATATCTTAACTCACCTATATCACTGATCCACATTCAGATTGATAACCCATTGTCAAAGTAGTTGCAGATCAATTTTCTGTTAATCAACTTCTCGATTAATCAACTAATCACTTAAACAGGTGATCCAAAGTGTTTTATAGTGACAGAAATAGAACAAAAGAAAGGAGAGGACAAATTAATCTGCACACATAGACAACAAAGTCCTACAGAAAGACAGCAAACGGCTTCAGAAGAGGAGCAGGTTTGGTTAGACTACAATAAAAGACCCTATCTGTACTCAGGCTAGCCACAAATAGTTAATCAACTACTCGATCAAGACTCCTATCTGAATGGTCGTCATAGTTCTCGAGGAAGGTGAAGCCACAAACAAAAGGAGTTTGTTGAACTGAACAAGATGTGTGTACAAGCGCTGTTTGGATTACAGTGCAGGTTTTAGGATGCTGTCAGAGGATGCCGTGTGTGGGCACATGGAGACGGTGGCGGTGGCGGTGCTGCTCGTTGTGTGCATCAGGAATCAAAGGCCGCCATTGTTGGAATGAGAAGCAGATGTTAGTGAGGAATTCTCCTGACTGCAGCAGTTTTTTCTTTTTTCATGCCTAAGCTTCGAATGCTGCCTCACTCCATCTCCCTCCCTCCTGCTCTCCCTCTCTCTCTCCCTCTCTCTGATGTATATATCCAACTCTTTTTCTCCCTTTTTTTTTTGACACATACTGTACCGGAAGCTATTCTTAAATCAGCGTGGTGACAGCCTCCCTCAGTGGGTCTGTTCCTTCTGCTTCTCCGAGCAAAGAGAAGTTTTTTCATTAGCTCCAGCGTCCAACAGTTGGACACAGAGACTCTCCGCCCCTCTGATGTCAACGGAGGAGGGAAAGAATGAGAAAGAGAGAGGTATGGTTGTGACAGAGGCCCTTTCTCTGTATTCCAGTGTGGGATTTGGTGTCATGCCTGACTCTGAGGTTTGCCACGTTGACAGAATCCCTGTTTGAGGCTGAAAGGCAGGAGGAAGCTCAGTTGGCTGCTCTTTGTGTGTGTGTGTGTGTGCGGCTCTAGCTGGACTTTACTGTTGCATCACACTTTGCACGGCAGTGAAAGGGGAATGGAAAGCAGCAGTAATTTCATTATCCAGCACTCTCTTCCATCACACAGCGCTCCCAGTACAGAGCGTGTAAGAGAATCCACCCTTTCATTACACAGTGGACATTTCCCACTGTGGTGATGTCTCATGTGTGGACTAGACATGACACAACAGACCTTTAAACCCATTAATAAGGCCTAAACTCAGTTATGTCTGAGCTGATGATGACCCTGCCTCTACAAGC